CCCTGATAATTTGCGGGCACGTAGTTATACTCTGGGCCCAGTTGTTCTAAGTCCCAGGAAGGGCTGACCCGAACAAAAATTTCGCTGATCGTCATTTTTTGTGCACTCTTCTTGTTAGATTTGAAATTGCGAAAAGATCAGTCAAACGCAGTTTAAACTACGCATGTCAAGTATACAGGTGAGTCGGTAGTCTGCGAGTTTTGATATGAAGTGCCCTGGCTAATGCACGAGTTGTTAGATAGTTGTCGTCGAGTAAGAGGGAAGGAACAAGGACATCTATACTCGACTATTTTTTGCCTAAAACAACTTGCCATTCCAAGTGATCCGCTCTTCTGGCAAGCTTGCTAAGATCCCAGCCATATTCCAAAGCACTTTTAACGTCGCAGCAGCAGAGTTTCTTTGGAAAATAACGTACCCCTTCCACCCTTTTTATTCATATTTCTTTTCATTTGGTTTAGCTCGACATGATTAAAAAGCATTTATTTGGTTTTTTAGTGATCGCCAGTTGGTAGGAATTCGTGAGCCGTACTTTAGCGCTGGGGCACCTGAAGGCATAGAGACGCATTTGATCGTGTGTGTCCATGGTCTGGACGGTAAGCTTTACATGTACATGTTACAAAACCTCTTTATCGCTTACACCCCTTAAATTCCCAAAAGTGATTAGCATTTAACTTCTCCCTGTAATATCCGTACATCATCCAGCAAACAGGTAATGAGAGTTACATTGTTATCTTGGTCTAACACCAAATTCCTGTAACTTACTTACAAGGGAATGTGAAGCAGCTACAGCGGAGAATTAACAATCATATTTTGGGAGTTCAAGGGTTAAGCACTATGCAAACTTGAGCTTATTTTCTCCATATAAACCATGTAAGTGAAAAAACACTCCAACTAACTTCTACTTTCAACACACTACTCCGAAAACTTCAAAACTAAAACTTTGAGTTTTGAAGTTTTCGCAGTAGTGTGTTGAAAGTAGAAGTTAGTTGGAGTGTTTTTTCACTTACATGGTTTAAATGGCGTTAAGTAATACTTTCTTAGCTTCGGTCAGTATAATTTCACAACGAGCTTATTTTCTGTAACTAGTTTAAAGCTGTACTGACTGCACTTTTAAAAAATGAATAAATTTAATGAATTTTAATAAATTGTCTATACATGTAAGATGTTTTGGTGGCCTAAACTTTACATAGCACACAGAATTGATAACAGTATTTTTTTTCCCCAGGTAACAGCGGTGATCTTCGTCTTGTACGTTGTTACTTAGAAATGGCCCTTCCTTCTACACGACTAGACTTCCTCATGTCAGAAATCAACCAGGTGGAAAAAAAAAACTATCGCTATCATTGTAGACTACACTGCTGATGATCTATTGGAATTTTTGTCTCAAAGTTTCGCACCTACNTGCTCAGAAACTGACATTAATCCAAAGTTTCTATAGTTAATTTAGTTCGTAACGTGCACAGCCGCGTTTGAACCACAGGACCCATTATAACGACTTATACCTTCGAGGTATGCTCTTCCTTAGTGCAAAACATAGCCTGTAGGCTACACTGTGGGTTTGGTTTACGATTCCTGAACCCATAGAATATTCTGAATTTTAACTTACGATCAATAATCAAACCACGGTGTGATCCCCTGTTCTCCGCTTCGCAGCCTGACACTTTTGTGACATTTGAAGAAATGACTGAGAAGCTGGTTCAAGAAATAACGCATCACATCGAAGCTTATAATCTCTTCCCCACGAAAATCAGGTTTGTTGGTGACTGATGGTTGTTGTCCTAGGGTTGCCCTGCGATTTCCTTGTCACTTTGGCCATGTGGTGACTGAACGTGAAATGACAACTCGCAATTATTTTTGTAAAAGAATTTTGTAGCGTGGCACTCGGTAACTTGTGACAAGGTAACTAAGGTCGTCATGTCCTGATTCTGCATCTGAGAAAGGTTGTTTTGATAGCAGGAATGGGATTTGTGTTATGTGCTTAGAACTGACTCGACTCCATCGGTTACTAAACGTACCCGCTGTTTGATTTTTCCCAAAGTGTTTTTTGTATTACACATGACCTTTAAAATCTGAGTGATACAAAAGCCAGCTAGAACATCCACCTCTGACTTAAAATCTTACTGGCCCCATTCGCAGGGCATCCAGTTTTCAACATTATTTTTTTCGCTTACCTTTTTGTTTGTTTGTTTGTTTGTTTGTTTGTTTTGGTAATCGAACAAGTATTATAAGACTCCTTATTTTGTTCTTGTCTCTACAGTTTTGTTGGTCATTCTCTTGGGAACATTATCATCCGATCCGCTCTCGGCCACCCTGAATTGAGGCCCTTCCTAGACAAGATCCACACGTTTTTGTCCCTTTCGGGTCCTCATTTGGGAATGTTGTTTCCAACAAGTTCACTTGTCAGCACTGGTAAGGCTGGTTTAGTTTTTGTTTCACACGAGACTACCTCGCAAAGCTGCCGGCGTTTATTCCGGTTTCTGTGTGACATAAAGGGTTTTCATGCTCTTCTGGCTGTTTGTATGGTGTATTATGTACTGTCTAGAGGCTCATTGTGGTGCTTTTCATTTCTACAGAACCTTTATAATTACTTTGGCTTGAAATTTACTTCAATCAACCTCAAAGAGCCTCCAGTGTTCCAACAGTAGCCGGGTGGCAGGTAGATCTACCCGTTCACGATGCAATAGCCACCCTCTTGTAAGCTTTACAGAAATGACATTGTGCTCCAACATGCGCATAATTCTCTTCAAATTTATGACTTAGAGGCACAAAAAAGCAACATTAAGTACTAAGATTTTACCTCAAAATGCAGGAAAAGGAAACCGCAGTAGTCTAAATGTTCAAAATGTGACAGGGTATCCCTTGGAATAGAGGTTCTGTTGGCCTTCAAAACTACCCATTTGTACCAAATTTAAATTGAACCACAGGGAGCCTAAATATATCTATTTTTTTCACCTATCCATGTCTTTTCGTTCTAGGCTTGTGGTTCATGCAGAAATGGAAGAAGTCCGATTCGTTGTTGCAATTGTCATTACATGATCATTCTGACCCTCGGCAGACGTTTATTTATCGACTTAGTCAGTCAGAAGGTAATCACCTTTATTAGATTTAGCACCGCGTTTACATGAAACGTGAACGGCAAGAGTTACCACGTGACCTTGTTTTTCCCGCCATTTTTTTACGTTTGCCGGTTGGGCTTTGCCGTTTCTTCGTGAAAGTAATCTGTTTTGCTTTTGCTGTGTACGTAAGATTTTCTTCTCTTTTTCTCTCACAGTGTAGAATTTAATTGCCGGTAAAAGGGGAACCAAAACTGTTCCTTGTAAGTCATACAGGGAAGCCTTCAAATCCACCATGACGCAAGCTCACGTGAAGCTAAAGCAGCAAGATTCACGCTATTTTACGCGAAACGTGAAAGGCAAAGCAGACGTTTGCCGTTTCACGTAAGCGCGGTGCTAAATCTCGCTCCTTTCTTTGCCCTTTTCCTTCTTCTTTTCCTTTTGTATTTCCCTGTCTCGTCATTCCTTTTTCTGTGAGTGTTTTTTTTAGACATCTTGTCTTGTGTGAGGTACCGTTGCCGCAACAAAGTTGTCTCGTGTTAAATAACAGCAACACATATCGTCTCGGAATTCATCACTTTCATGTGAATCTGATACACGGCGTCTTAAACTCTCTCAGTTTAAGCTTGGGTTAGACATAACCAAGCTGGTGAATTTTATGAAACTCGAGGTTCTCTGCGCCTTTTTTTTCCAGGCCTACAGTACTTCAAAAATATTCTTCTGGTCAGCTCTGTACAAGACCATTATGTTCCTTATCACTCGGCCAGGATAGAAAGTTGTCGAGCTGCCGTGAAAGATAACTCTGATGTCGGTGAGTATTCGGCGAAGAATGGTTAATTGTATTTTAGAGCACTTTTGCTTATGTGGTTGTTGGTAATGTTGGATTTTGTGGGGGCGTTAACTCTTTAAGGCCCAAGTGCAATATATTTTGCAACAGCATTTTTTGCAGAGAGATGTTCTAAATATATCTTCTTACTGATACAGTGGCCAATTTGGAAGAGTGGGAAATTTCATTTTCAATGCTGTTTTCCGTAACCAATCAGATCCCAAAACAAGACCCGAAGATTGCTCGATCACAAACGTTTTTCCGCGCTTTCTTGGGCGTGCGTTGTGATTGGTTTTTAAAAACTTGCGTCGACGTCGTCTCTGTAACTAGTGAGATGGAAAACCAAAACGAGGCACGTTCTGATCACGTATTTCCTCGAGTTTGGAATTGATTACGTGTTTTTTCTTTGAACGTGGTTTGGGTTCGTCGTTAGGATTCCCTCCACTTTTCAAGTGATTAACTCATTTTAACAACGGCTTGCAATGTAACTAACTTGAATTTGTTTTTACTTCTACCAGCTGTTGCTTACAGAGAGATGATTGACAACCTTCTGAAACCATTGGAAGGGAGGAAAGACATGAACCTTGTCCGTTACAGTGTTTATCACAATCTTCCGAGTTCAGCAAATTCCTTCATTGGCCGAGCTGCTCACATAGCAATGCTCGATTCAGAACTTTTTATCGAAAAATTGCTGTTAGTTTCTGCGTTAGATTACTTTAGATAGGTAAACGTTTGAACAGTGCTAGAAGAAAGCGCGTAGCACATTATGTAAACCTTGTCAAAGATGTAAGACGTTGTTGCGTTGCCGAAAACTATCGGTACATTTTCGACAACCCTTCGAAACACGCACGAAGAGTTCATGACAGAAATCACTCAATCCGAAAGAACAACGCGCAATTTACGATGTTGTGATCGGCAACTCGCCTGAATATCGTAGTTCTCCGACGTCTTTCCGATCATACCTTAGCCCAAAACTAGAACTGTTCTTGCGCTCAACTTGTTTTACGGGACCATAGGAACCGGTGATGACAAAAGACATAGACGGGAAAGGTAGTTGAATAGTGTTGTAATGCCAGGTAAATTGAATTATGGTATAGTATAGATTCAATTTAATTTTTGATTGATTAATCGGTTATAATAGCTTATTTACTATTATTAGGATTTTATATGGCTAATAGCGAGAGAATTCAGGAAAATCGTGTGTACCTGTAGTTGCGAGTTCTAATATTCTGATTATGTGGTCTTCAGTCTTCTTCTCTAGAGAGAGATCTGTTTGAAAACAATTCTAGAAAATTGGGTTTTCCTTCCAATATTTTGAGCACATGCATCTAACTTTTTGTTTCTCCATTATAAATATCTTCCTTGGTGTTTCCCTTGCACGCTATACGCCTCTTGCGTGTTTTCCTTCTGTTATTTATTTGATTATTTGTTGTTTCTTATTCTTCCTTATCCTGATGAAGTGATTTGCGGTTCCTCGCATCACCAATCGCAAAGCACTTAAGATGGGATTTGTATAGTTTAATTGGGCTAGTGAACTTTTTGAAGTGAATTTTTTATTTGCTCCAAGTAAACAATTGAAATCATAAAGCAAGGCTTGAGCGGGACTCAAAAATTTTGATAATTTTGGTTTGGAACATGTGACTGAGTTACTTAGTTGACAAGGCTGCTGTTGCCCGTAGATCTTAGTTAAGACAGTGCACAAATCATCTAGGAAGGATAAAAAGACTCGTTGTGGTAACTCGTAATTTTGACTCTCGGTTGCAATATTTATTAATAAATACTCAACGGACAACGTAAAAAGTAATAAAGAGTTGTCAACAAAGAATTGTAATTAATTGTGGGTTAACTGTAATGTGAATACGCATTGCTTCATTTTGGTAAATAGAATATCCAAGGTAAATTTTGGTGATTCACCGCTCTGCGCATCAAATATTCCCCCTTCCCCCCCCCCCCCCTATTCTATCTGATGACAAAGGTATACACCCATACTTTGAATCCATCAGTTAGTTTCTGAGATACCAGAAATCTCCAGATACCCAGAAAAATCTTCCTTCAACGGCAATGGGACGAGAAACTCGGGAAGTGATGAGTCACTCTTGGCACGAGGTGGCGAATGTTGCAATTCTTTTTGGTCTTTTTGGGGTTAATCTCATTTTCCTGGCATTGGGATGCAAGGATTCAGTAAGTGGGAATATTGCTTGAATTCACAGGATATTCCCTAATTAAGCTAAACCAATAGCACGCCAGTAGAAAGATGTGATAGATCCCACTGGGGGGCACATTCAGTCACGTAATGCGTGCAAGCGAAGATGTGTTACGGATCATCTCGCCTTTTACTGTCGGAAAAAAAACTTTGATTTGGATAACCATGTTGGACATTTTGGTAAACATTGCGATTTGACGTCATCGTCCAAGTCCCCTATCAGTTTATATGCTCATTTGAGAGATTGCTGATTCCTTTCGTGTACGTCACAAATACTTTCTAAGTTTGTTTGCCTTTTACTAATACCTAGAAACCTAGTCTTTCATCAACCGCCTCCCGGTTAGCTCAATGGATAGAGCGCTGGACTGTTGTGCGGGAGGTAAGGGTTCGAGCCCCGGCCGGACCAACACTCAGGGTCTTAAAATAATTG